TTGATGACATTGAAGAAAAGCATTCAATTGAATATGTGTTTGGAGTTCTGATTAGGGCACTGAACTAGACTGGCGTTTCTTAACTTTTTATCATGGAAACTTTCAAACATTTATCAGTGTGAGCAGAGTACACTAATAAACCCCCAATTCACTACCCGGCTTGAGCAATTGTCAACTCGAGAACTTTCTTCATTCTCCCCCTCCCTATTTTTTTCACTCCACTGGATTGTAACAAAGCAAATCTTAGATATTCGATTGTCTCAACAATCATGGGCATGTTTCTATGCAAAATAAGTACTCTTTTTTTGACAATAGTGTCATCATCACATCTTAAAAACTAAATAATAGTTTCTCAGTATCACCAAATCTCAGTGTTCAAACTTTCTTAATTGTCCTACTCAGTTTTTATGCAGTTAATTTGTCTAATTCTGAATCCAAACAAAATCCTCCTGTGTGTTTGATATATCAAAGTTTCTTGTAATCTGTTGGTTCCCTTCCAATTTATCTGTTGCAGATACCAGTCATTTTTCCTTCATGTTCTGAATATTCGGGACTTACACAGTTAACATCTTTATCACATGTCTGGTGGGGGAGGGGGATATTCCTTTATCTCTTTTATTTTCTACAAACTCAAATTTAGATCTAGAGGTTTGATTAGATTCACGTTTGATTTTTTTTTTTCCTGTTAAAATGACTCCTGTGTGAGTGGTTTTGTGAGTGGCTTTATTGGGTCACCTCAGGAGAAGTGCAGTGTCTGATTGTCTCTCTTGTGATGTGAGGATTATTCAGTCTGTTAAAGTGTTGTCAGCTTCGTGAATTGTACATTTTCCTATCAGCTTTTTGGTAATGATGTAGCAGCCACTGATGATTATAACCCGCTATGTTATTAGGGTTGCAAAGTAGCGATGCTTTCTCATTCCTTCTTCATTAATTTGCTTTCTAAAGGACTTCACATCATTAAATATTTCATTACTAAACTGAAATATAGTTCTACAGAGAGCAGGAAAATACGTTTTACCTTTTTATTTCCAGTTTTTAAAATAATAAGTTGATCTTCACCACTCTCCAAAAATGGTCAATGGGTTGAATTTTATATTATTTTATTGTTATTTTTATTACTGGGGATTGAATCCAGAGGTGCTCTGCCATTGAGCAACATCGTCAGCCCCTTTGATTTTTAATTTTGAGCTGGGCTCGATAAGTTGGTGGGACTGGCCTCAAACTTGCAATTCTACTTTAGCCTCCTGAGTAGCTGGGATTAAAGGTGTGCGCCACCACACCTGTCTAGAATATTTTTTTCCCATTTACTTTATGAACTCATGATTTCAACATTTTTATTGCTTTTCAATTTATTGCAGATATTATTCATTTAGATGCCCAAATTGTTCTATCTTTGGGCAGTGAGAACTTCTTAAATTTGTCTCCTATAACCTGAACTTTTTTTAAACTAAAAATAAAAAGAAATTATTTGGGCTGGGGTTGTAGCTCAGTGGTAGAGCACTTGCCTAGCACATATGAGACACTGGGTTTGATCCTCAGCACCACATAAAAATAGATAAATAAAATAAAGTTACTGTGTCCATCTACAACTAAAAAAAATATTTAAGAGATTGTTTGTTTACTTTTTCATTAGAATGACAGAGAAAATATTGGATTTTCTTAAGTTATACTACAGAATGAACAAAGACTAATCCCAGTAGGTGATTTTGAAAATTCTGTGAGAAAGAAAACAAAATTATTTATGATTGTACTCCAGAAAGACAACAAAATAAAAGATACTATTACAACAGCTCCTGATGATATTTTGCTTTCCCAAGTGAGAACACTGTGAAGTCTGTAAATCTTTTAACCTGAATCAACCAGGTATCAACCTATCCTTCCCAAAAGAGTTTAAAGTATAGTTTGAGAAGGAAGTACTTGGTATTAGATAGAATCTGTTTCCCACTAGTGAAMGAAACCTCAAAATTGCAGCATCTTGGTAAATAGTTTATTTCACTTTGTATTACAAAGGTGACCCAGGGTTAGCATGGAAGATCCATGGACATCAGGACTCCAGGCTCTTTCTACCATATGCTTCCTTTTCCTTAACATGCAATTTCTACTGCATGATATAAGATAGCTGCTCCAGCCCTAGCCATTATCTCAACATTCCAATCAACAGGAAAAGGAAAAAGCTAAAGAAAACAATATGAAGATTTCTATTAAGGACAATTCCACCTCTGCCTTATTCTGTTGGCCAGAAAAGAGTCACATGACTATGCCTCATTACAAAAGGATCTGAAAAACATAGTCTTTATTCTGCCTGGCTGGAGGTTCAGACAACCTTCAGGGAGTCAGTTATCCTAAGAAGAAGAAGGAAGCAGATATTTGAGGAAAACAACAATCCCTTCCTCAAGCCATATTCAGGAAAACAAAACACCAAAACAAACAAGCAAACAAACAAAACCCTACCTCTACCACTCTTGTGCAGTGTATTTCCAAATACACATGTCTTAAAATCACAGAATAAAGGTCATTCAAATATCCCCTTCCTTTTCCCTCGTGCGTGTCTTGATTATGCAGGGATTTCTGACATATGAAATAAAATTAAAAAATAAATTTTTGAGAGTCATACTCCTGTACATTAATAATGACAATTGTGTCTCATTATTTATTCCTATCCAGCCCATGCCACCTCTGCTTACATCAAAATTTCTTACTTATTAATTTCATGGTAGAAGTATGTCTCATATATTATACCTCAACAATGTTCCAACTCGAAGGCAAAATAGATGACCACTAGAACTCAGTATTCACAGTGTCTGCCATGCACTTCTCAAATGACCTACTAAAGAAGCTAAGGATCAGAGAGGGAAAGAAGCTTAAGAAAAACAGTTTAGTAAATGACAGAGAATTTAGTCAGTGACAGAGCTRGAATTCCAGTGCAAGTTTTTTTCTGTTTTCAGAGCTCATTCATTCTTTATTATGCTGCTCTGTCATATTCATTTATTTTCTGTTCTTCTACAAAATTTTAGGAAACAAAAACAACCATCTATATGTAGCACAGAGAAACTTCTGTGGGCTCTTATTTAAAGTTAATTTAAATTTTAAAAATAAACTTCAAATCTATTTCTGCTAAGAGTTTTATGCTCAGTCTCTCTTTGAATTGCCCACCCCAAGTTGGTGATTATCCATTCAACACATTTTCTCAAATAAACTTTTCATATGTGTTTGTTGCTGAGCATATAATGGTGAGTAAAACCACACATATCCCTTACTCTTGAGGAGCATCTAAACTAGTGAGTGTGTAGCTGGAGAAAAGATGTCTCCGGAGGGTCCAAGGAGTTCCCAGAGGGAGGGGGAATTCATTTCAGGATGAGCAGGGTTCCTGGCATATGTGATGGAAAGAATTTCAGCAGGAGCCAGACAAAGGCATAGGCAGAGGTTTATTTAGAAAGTAGTTACACATTCAAGGGAGAAGCCCTTTTGTGGGTTGGGGTCCAATATTTATAGAAAGGCTGTAATTAGGACCGGACTGGACATGGAGCAAGGTGGAGCCACAAAAATTTTTACCAGTTTTCCCTGTGCTCAGGTATTTTATTTTCCAAGGGTACAGGCCAAGGACATGTCACTCAAGATTTACAACTGTGCTTTCTGCACCTTAAAGGCTCTTGGGTTGTTTTCTTTGAGACTCAGTATCTCTCTCTCTTAATCTTAGATCCCTATCTCAAGTGAGGAGACAACCCAAAGTCACCCTCCAGATGCATGATTAATGCTGTTCTGAGGGGAATGAAGAGAAAGGTAGAAGGTGCCTTGTTGTGATTGGTGGATTTGACTTAGGAAAACCAGGAAGAAGTCCCTGAGGAAGTACAGGGAGGCAGAGGCTGGCATTAAAATTCAGAGTTAACCCAAAAAAGCAGAGGCAAAAAGACATTCTGGGGCAGAATGAGCAGCATGTGCGGACTGGCATGAGAGGTGTGCACAGAGGGCTGGGGATAGGGGCAGATTGGTAGACTGGGGGGAGAACCTTTGAGAAAGAAGTGAGGTGAGCCAAAGAGGAACCCTGCAGTGCCTTGTCTAGAGCCACTGTTATTCACTTTCACAGATGAAAAAAAAAAAAAAAAACAGATTCAGCACCACTGAATAATTTGCCTGTGGCCTCACAGCTGGTTCCAGTGGTAGATCAGGAGAGAGTAATGGCCCTTGTAAGACCCATGTCTTAATCTCCAGAACCTCTGTGTATGCTAGGTTACATGGCAAAGGGGTATTAAAGTAGAGAAGAGAATGAGGTTGTTATCAGCTGACTTCAAATAGGACTTTCCTAGATGATCCTAGATTGAATGGACCCAGTATAACCACATGGGTCAAAAGTGGAGGAGGGAAGAAGAGGTTTCCAAGGAGGACTGGACCTGTGGCTGTTGGCCATGAGCTGGAGGAGTATGGGTGTCCTTCAGAAGCTGGGAAAGTCAAGGACACATATTTTCTGATAAAGATCCTAGGGAAAGGGTCATAGCTCATTGACAATTTGATTTTAGCCCAGTGAGACCCATTCCAAACTTCTGAATTACAAAATTGTGAGACAATTAATTTGTGTTACTTGAAGTCACTAAGTCTGTAGCAATTTGTTACAGTAGCAACAGGAAACTTAACACCCAAGCTGGGCTTCATGGGCTCCAGAACCCACATTCTTAATTCCTGTGCTAGATGTCTTAACTGTTGGGTGGGCTAAACCAGGAACTATGACAATAAGCATCAAATTGCTAATATAATTTTGACTCTAAGTTTCTTCAAACATCATTTCCAAACCATGCAGCAAAGGGTATATATATATTTTTATATGTGCCTCTTAGTTTTGTGAATTTCGAAAGGATGTGGTTATGGCCTTTGACATCAGAAGAGAAGCTCCGCAAGTTGACTGAGGGTTGATAAAACGATAACGTTGGAGGTGAGGTGCCTCTGAGCAGCTCTCTGAAGATCAACTGCCTGCCTGTCACATTCCTTTCCCAGAGGCTATTTGCTCCGGTTGTGCTAAGGGGTGATGCCTAAGACGCATCACTTTTCAAGAACTGGATCATGAACAACTTGATCCTCCTGGAAGAACAGCTGATCAAGAAATCCCAACAAAAGAGAAGAACTTCTCCCTCTAATTTTAAAGTCCGCTTCTTTGTTTTAACCAAAACCAGCCTGGCATACTTTGAGAATCGTCATGGGGTATGTGAGACTTTCTTTTGTCTTTTTTTTTTTTTATATATAATATGTTATATTTAGACTTCACTGACTCTGAAAGATATACATGGAATAAAATAGAACATGGAACCCAAGCATGCTGGGTTTAATAAGCAAAGAGCACAGTAGGGAAATCAGTGGAGAATGTAGAGAGGAGTCAAGAGGTCAGATGTTGTACTTGGTGATTTCACTTCCAAAAACTACAACTTTAAAGTTCATCAGCTTTTTTCCCCTACAAAATAATAATATTTCATGTGACAAATGTATGATTGGATAGAACTTCAACTTTGTATGAAATATACTACATTCTATGGAACATAGACTAGTAAAATATTGTACTTGGTGGGACCTCAAGAATAATTTAGCCCAATGTTTTTATTTTACAGTAGAAAAAAATAGTACTTGGAATGATTAAGTGGTAGGTACAGTATTAAAACATGTTTACGAATTCAACTCTTTGTTTTAATGGACAACACTTCCATGATATCTTAAAATTGTTTCCCAAGCATTTAATAGTCTAAAATTTGCAAGGCACAATTGCAGATCTCTTTATCCCTTGGAAAACATCACAGGACACTAGGCGTATTGAGCCATGGTGTTCTGCATGCAGACCAATGGTTCTTACATAGGGGATCGTGGCTGCTTATCTAGGCCAGTCTTTGATATATCTGAAGACATTTTCATATTCCATAACATCTGTAATTACAAAAGAAAAAAAATCAATGAACACAGCAGTGTACTTTGACAGATAAAGCACTAGGTGAGGAGTGTACTTTGACAGATAAAGCACTAGGTGAGGAGTGAGGAGACCAAACTCTGCTTCTCATTAAGTGATAAAGTCTGAACAAATGTCTATCTCCTGTGTCAGTTTTTTTTTTTTTTCTTAAATTAAAGGACTGGAAATTACCTAACAAAATCTCTTCCTTCTTTAAAAATCCTTTGTTTCTATGTAGTGGCTCTTGTTTAGCCCTTCCCAGCAATTCCTCAAAGCATGTTTGGGACTTCTTATTATATTGTTATATTGCTTTTAAATCACTAGAGAGGTAGGGAGAGATTGTTGCTTATATTTTGCTGAAGGGGAAACTCTATTTGGTGCTTGATGGTTACTTAGAGACAAAGGTGCTCTGATTCCCCATGGGTGTATGACTTAGGAATTGCAGGAATGAGTTTGGAGTCTTTGGAGAGCCAGGTTTTCAAATGTTCAATGAAGTGTAGTCCTGGAGGAGGTGGCTGGTTCTAGAGCCAATGGATGCCTGGCTTTTTAAAGTTTCAACTGAAATATCACTAGCTTGTCTTTAGAAAAGAATTGGTCATCTTCAGCAGACTCTTACTAATATTTTAGAAGTTAAGCACAAATCACATGGAATTACCTATGTGCAAGGGCCCATTGATAGGTAACCAGGAGCCAAGTTTTGAACTTGAGGGATTCATTGTACATACCTAATAAATCACATAGCATAAGTCAATTTTTAGTGTATGTGTGTGTGTGACCTAATGTTTCCATTAGGTTATATAGGACATATGCGCAATCATCAAATTTCTTGTTTTTTAACACCAGTGATTAATATCCACAAATTTTTTTTTAATTTTTTTTAAATATGATAGAAATCTATTAGTAAGAAAGTTATCCAAGGTCACTGAAAAATGAATGTGAATTATTGTTGTGTATTCCCTATATAAATCACATAGTTTGGGGTCATCAATTTGCACCCAAGAGTATACTGTACATCACTCATAAATAAACAGCATTATCCTTGTGGAAAGAACCCTTTTATTTTTTAATTAAACCCTTAGTCTTCCCATCTTAAAATGGGTGTGGTAAGAGTATCCATTTCATAAAATGGCAAAGAATCAGATAATATATTTATGCCCAACTATTTGAGATTACCACTTAGCAGATAATAAAAGTCAGATGTTGGCAATTTCATATAGTTCAACTTAATTCGTAAGCTACTTACTGTATCTTGTCAAATAGTCAGCACCTAGTAAAACTTAGCCATTTTTGTATCATTTTTATATCTCTGAAGAAGCTGGCAGGGTGATATAACATATTTATCTTCAAATAATAGGAAATATTAAAAGAATCTTCAAAGCCAAGCTAAGATCAGGGTCCTGGACTTCTATTCTACAGTTAAATGTAAGCATGCGGGGAGACAGACATGCATCAGGAGCTGTACACTCCTGGGTCAGCTCCTCTTAGGGTCTCAGCTTCTCTTTTTGGCATTTGTAAAATTATGTTCCCAGCAGTTATAATCTTCTGTCAATTTATAAAACTGTATGAAAATAATCCCTTACATACTCAAGAATAAATTCTGTAAATTGTTTATTCTAAACTTTAAATATCCATTCTTCTTGTCATTACATTGCTAATTGAATGAGCCTTTTATTTTAACAAGTGTTTAGTTTTGGTGTCAGATGGCTGTTTCCCTTATTGAGATGTGCTATACAAGTGTTTCCAGAGAGGCCAGGAAGACCTTTCATCCTACTGAAGCATGGGTCAAAAAGACGCATAGAGTTGGCAGGTGGTGACTCAAGGGTAGGCATGATTTTACGTTCTTCCTATGCCTGCCAATTTCCTTATTTCCTTGCAAAATAGTCTCTGGTGACTGAAATTCTTTTTTTTTTTTTTTTTTTTTTTTTTTTTTTGCTACCAGGGATTGAACACAGAGGTGCTTAAATAAGCCTCATCCCCAGCCTTTTTTTTTTTTTTTTTTTTAATTTGAGACAGGTTCTTGCTAAGTTATATAAACCTTGCAAAGGCTGAGGCTGGTTACGAACCTGTGATCTTCCTACCTCTTGCCTCAGCCTTGCAAGCCACCAGGATTACAGACAGGCTGGAATTCTTTTACAGAGGACAAGGAGAGATAAAATACTGGTGCTTAGCTCATAAATATATAACAATGTTAGTGATGAGGGCAGAGGGGTTGAGAAGCCCTCCCTCATAATTTTTATGGATTTCTCATCATGCTCCCATCATGGCCATTTTAGATTACCAATGTGATGTGTCTACTAGCTCAAAAATTCCTGGAAATTTACCAGTCAGCCAGCAAGCTGAACCTATCACACTACAGGCAGACTTAAGTAAAATAATCTCTGGAGAAGTAATCACCAACGGAACAATACACTTAGTTGCATGTGATTGATACCAGATCTTTTTCAGGGGTAAAAGAAAAAAATGGAGGACCTCTGGCTCACTTTGAGTAAGAACATAATGGAAAAAGTAGCATCCATGGAGAAAAGCATCACAGATTGGTGAGGCCAGTGTAGCCAAGTAGAGCTGGATTCAAATCCTTCTTTACTTTCTGGAAGTGCCTCTTTCTTATTGTAAAAACTCAACACTGCTTGTTCCAAGAGATGTCAAGTAAATCATGAAAAAGTATGTTCCAAGCTTCAGGCTAATTGCTACATTTTACGGTCATTATTATTCAGTTATGCTCAAGCACCACCTTGAACTTCTGAAAGACCCTTGGGAGAACTGAGAAGGTTTTTCTATTGTATTGCCTCTTTGCACCTTAAGGATCAAGCTTGTAGTGCTTCCTATGGTGTGGGAGCCATTATCACTTACATGGGATGAAGCATATCTTATAACCTGTGTCCTCCCTCAATGAAATATGGCAGGTGTGGAGGTGGTCCCTTTTCCTTGCTTTAGGAAACATTATTGCATAGTGGTCAAAAAAAAAAAAAACAGCTTCTGGTGTCATATAGATCTGGATCAAAGACCAGATTTACTGCTTGAGCTGTGACTCTCTGTAAACCCCATGATGCTGTAAGATTCTCTTTTAAAATCCTCCTATCTCAGCCTCCTGAGCCACTGGGATTATGGGCATGCGTGGTGCAATGGCCTATTTTTTAATTGGCTTGTTCTTAAACTATTGTATATACAAACACATACACAAACACACATACTCTGAATGTAACTTCTTTATTAGATATGAGGTTTGTAAATATTTTCTCTCAACCCTTGGCTAAGGTAAGATCATCATTATTCTAATGACAATAAAGTAATAACACTTACTGAGCACTTCTATGTGTCAAACACTGTGCCAAATGTGAATTATTTCATCTAATCCTTATATTCACTTTGTAAGTTAAGAACTAATATTACCCTCATTTATAGATTAGAAAATGGAGAAGAAGGCTTAAGTAACTTGCCTGAGGTCTCTTATGTCTCCAAAGGCTACAGGACTCCCAAACAAATGGTGCCTATTGTTACTAGCATTTGTTACTGGTTAGTAATTGGGAACTGGACTGGTTATGACAAAGTGTGTGGTGTGTTCCTTCTCTGAAGTCTTCAATGCAAAGGGTGTTCCTGAAAATCATCACTCCATGCTCCCCGGTCTCTTGCAATGAAGTACGTTATGAGTTTTATAATTGCCATGTTCACTCCAGGACATGTCTTCGTTCACTATGGGGAGTTCTTGTGTATCCAAAAAAAAATGAGAGAATTGGCCAGCTTTTATTCTGAACATTCCCCTAGAATCTGCTCAGATTTCCTATTGGAAGCCACCAACATCTCCCACCTGGGACTACTGCCACCTCTGATTGATTGTTCCTTGCAAGCACTCCACCCCACCCCATCCTGCCATCCCATTCTCTGCAAGTCAGCCCAAGTGACATTCACATGGTGACTGTAATCAAGTCCTGATGACCTTCACCAGAAACTCAGGTATCACTTCAGTGTTTTTTCTGTTGCCCTGAGGATGGGCACCAGAATCTGCCACACATTCTCTTCTGTCTCAGCACATATTCCTTTTTCTCCCTTCTCCGTAGGCTTCAGCCACACTAGGTTGTATTCACCTTTAAAGCCTCCATGTCAGATGTCACTTGTTTAGAAAAACCTTCCTTGAGTTCCCTAGACTAGGTTGTATCCTCCTCCTCCTGTTATGTTTTGCCACACCAACGTGTACCGTTTCTTCAGAGTAAATGTCAGAGTTATGATTGCCTATTTATTAAAATGATTATTTTATTAATGTCATTCTCCCACA